AAAAAAAAAAAAAAAAAAAAAAAAAGTGACCATACATGTGAAACCTCTAGCAAAGTACTTGGCTGAGAGTAGGCAGTCAAATGCTACCAAAAATGGATGCTTGGAAGAGTATCCAACTCCCCATTCAACCTCAGTAGCAGAACTACTGAATTACTACTCTGTGCCAGGCACTGGTTGAAGAAGGAAAGGATTTGGGAGCCAGAGTCTCAGCTTTTAGAAGTACTAGCTAGCATGTTTTCAGCACTTACAACGCACCATGCCCCATTTTAAGTATTTTTCATATAGGTTCTTGTTTCACTTCCGCTTGAACCAGAGGTGGTGGGTACTGTCACTCCTGTTTTCGTAGGTGTGAAAAAGAGAGCCAGGATTCAAACCTAGGCTTTCTCATTCTTGACTTCCACCTTCAACTCCTTGCAGACAGACACTCTCCAGGTGATCTCTGTATTCCCAGTGCTCCACAGACATTCATTAACTGCTTGTGGTATCAGAGTCATGGCCTTCAGTGATGATCTGATCTTCCTGTTTCTGCAGAAGCTGCTGATGGGAGCTCCACCCTGGGAGGAGGAGCTGGCACCATGGGCCTGAGCGCCCGCTATGGACCCCAGTTCACCCTGCAGCATGTGCCTGACTACCGCCAGAATGTGTACATCCCCGGCAGCAATGCCACACTGACCAACGCAGCTGGCAAGCGGGATGGCAAAGCTCCAGCAGGTGGCAATGGCAACAAGAAGAAGTCTGGGAAGAAGGAAAAGAAGTAATGTGGAGGCTGGGCCTAGAGCCACAGAGCAGCCTCTCTCCCCAACCAGCTTCTCCTTCCCTGTACCCGGGCCTCAGATTCCAGGGCTCACCCCTAGGATTCTGGTAGGGGCCAAGGCCATGCTCCCCTTGAGAAACAGAAACAAGTGCCCAGTCAACACCCCCCCTCTCTGCCCTCAGGGGGTTGAATATGCAAAGGGAGTTCTGCTGGGAACTCCCATCCAATCAATTGCTGTACCCAAGTGGGTAGTGGGGTTAGTGTAGACTCCAAGAACCATTTGTCACACCCCCTTTAGTTACAGCTAAACTCCTTCATCTTCCAAATCAATCAGGCACATCCATCCCCTAGCTCCCTGCGCCCCTGCCCCACCCCACTCCTTCAAAGTTCCCCTCTTGAGTAAGGTAGTTGGGGTGTTGAGGTACCAGTTGACCTAAAAAGGCTCATAGTTCTGAAGAGTTGGAAGGGCATCATGACCACTTGGCCTCCCCTTCATTTCTCAATCTTCCCCCAAAGCATGCTTTGGTGCCAATCCTTTCACCCCCTTCTAGAGCCTGTGACCAGTGCTCAAGTTTGGGAGACATGGTCACTGTCCATCCCCATGGTACTGATGCTTGCTGGATTTGGGAAGGGCATTTTGCTACCAAGCCCTTCCTAACGCCCTGGGGACCAATATTTTGTTTTGTTTTTCATTGTTTGATGTTCCCACTGCATGCTGTGACTTCTCTACCCCTCCTCAAACAAGAAACTCCATTGCATGTTCTGAGGTGGTAGGGGGTGGTAAAATACAGAAGGGAAGTGTGTGTGTGTGTGTGTGTGTGTGTGTGCGTGCTCGCATGTGTGTGTATGGATGGGAGAGGATGGACAAATCTTGGCCCATCAGTCAGTTAACAGAGTCTTGCAGGAACCGCTGTATGTCCCCAGGGTGCTGGCCAGATCCTCAGATTCCAGCCACAAACCAAACAGTAGGTTGGACCTTCACCACACACATACATATAGGCTTCAGTCTAGGCAGCCAGCTTTGGGTTGAGCGACCAGGACCAATGGGTTTAAAACTGGCATTTCAGTCCAAGGAAGCTCTGAGTGGGGGTTTAGGAGCAGGCCCCCTAGAGAGGTCAGAAGGGCTGCCCTCTGTCTATGCTGGGCACTCCAGAGGTACCACAGGTAGAAGGATTCGAGGAGCCCCAGCAGCAAAGGAGGCCCAGCTAGGCCATTCTTGGTCCTTGGGTTGGGAGGCAAGGAGCTACAGCAGGACTCAAGTGGACGGAAAGTCTCAGCCCATGATGGGACTTCTCCACAGAGTCCCTGCTTTTCTCAAGCCTCGCCCTTTGCCAGGTGCCATTTCTTCTCCGTGAAGGCCACTGCCCAGGCCCCTAATCCGCCCCCTAGTGGCCAGAGCCTGGTTAAAGTCCCCCAGTGCCTCCTTGTGCATAGACCTTCCTCTGTCCACCCCTTCTGATCCTGCGGTCGTTTCTCCAGCGGGGTTGCAGAAGAACCCCACCCCAGCCCTTCCAGTAGTATAGAGCCCCTCCCTTGGCTGGTGTAGAATAGCCAATAGTGTAGTGCGGTGTGCTTTTACGTGATGGCGAGTGGGCAGCGGGGACGGGCTGGGCGCAGCCGTCTGTCCTTGAATCTGCTGCCTGCGGCGGCCCGTGCTGTTTTGTGTTGTGTCCACACGCTGCGGCGACCCCCTCCCCAATACTGACCCCTTCTATAAGCGCTTCTCTTCGCATAGTCACGTAGCTCCCACCCACCCCCTTCCTGTATCTCACGCAAGTTTTATACTCTAATATTTATATAGCTTTTTTTCTTCGAAAAAATAAAAAGGTTTCTTCTGAAAGGTTGAACGTTTCTGTTTAAGAGCTGGAGCTTCTGATATGTGTGAATGAAACGCGCTGAGCGGTGTATTCTGGAACCGTGGAACTGGGCAGCTGTTGTTTGCGTCTTGGTTTTGTGTCATTGAGCATCTACATCTGTTTCGTGTGTGTGTGTGTGTGTGTGTGTGTGTGTGTGTGTGTGCGCGCGCGCGCGCGCGTGTGTGCTGCCGTTCAAGTCTATGACTGTCCAATATGGCTGTGCATGTTGCAACACCGTTGTGCCTCTGTAAGTGTGCGATGGGCTGTAACTGTGCTTGTGGATCTGTGGTGTGTGATCGGCTCGCGGGCCTGTCGTGGGGGTGGGGAGTTTGTGGCGTATCCGTGTGTAATTGGGCGCGCGGTTGTGTGCCTGCTGCTACCCCGTTAGATCCTAAGCGCCAGTCTCCAGGCAGAAGAGGAGACCGGGGCAAGCAGCATCAGGAGGGTGCGGGGAGGATGCCGAGACGGTCCCCAAGTTCCCGCCCTTCCCCGCTAAACTCGCCCAGGTGGGGGCTTCGCCGCGAGAGTGTGCTCTTTCCTCCTCTACCCACTCAGGCTGCTTAGAGGTTTTGAGAACGCTGCGGAAGTGGGAGGGAAAGCGGCAGGGAGATTCTCGGAAGGCAGAGCGGGTAGCCTGGGTCTCACTTTCTCCATCTGGAACTTGCTTTCTTGCTACCTCTTCACAGCAAAAGCCTAACAAATTGGAGGGCTCATCGCTTTCTGGAAGGGTGGCCAAGGGGACCGAAAGAGTGAGCCATAAATAAGACGGCCCGCAGATCCAGCTCGCCCTCCCTCCTTCCTCCCTCGGCTTCTCCTTTCCCTCCAGCTCTCCCATCTCCCCGCCCCCTACGCCCGCTTCCCCACACCCCAGCGCCGCAAACTCTGAGGTGGCTCCACCAAAGCAGCCACTGCAAGGAGGGGGAGGAGACGGCGGCACAAGGACTGAAACAGACCCACTGGGTTATCAGACGGGCCAGCAAGTGCAAGCCCAGGGGAGCGAGGAGGAGGTCTTGGGACTTCCTCGGCGGGTTCTCCGAGGCAGGTCACCCATTCTGCTGCCTCCTATAGCCTGCTGTCATGGAAACCAAACCTTCCAGTGAGGCATCAGGGGGCGACTTTCTCGTGTGGGAGGGTGGTGTGCACGCTTAGAGACGGGAGCAGGGCTGGTTCTATTCCAGGCGCTGCAGCAGACGGCAGGGCAGGGCGCGTGAGCAGCTGTGGTTGGTCCCCTAATTGGTACGTGGGCCTGTGAAGCAGAGCCAGAAACGCGTGGCTCCTCAGGGAGGAAAGGAGGCGGGCAGCCCACCCCACACCTCCGGCTGCAGGGGAGGCAGCTGCCCAGGTCTTGGGCTATTTAAAAAGCGTTTGTGCTTAGTTCCACACGCTGTCCACCCTGGGCCGGCTCATTGCTTGCAGGTTTCTTTGTGCCTGTCACAAAGGGCCTAGGCAGTCAGGACTCAGAGGAAAGTCATCTGACTTCTGCTGGCAAAGTTCAGGTTCCGGCCACTAAAAGAGCCAGAGGTGTGAATGGGAAAATGGGAGTCAGATGCTTCCATCAGCGAAACAGGCACAGGTACTGGCTGGAAAACCGCAGGATGTTTCTGGGCATAGCCAAGTGGGGAGTAAAGTGTGAGCTAAGAAAAGGACTCTGAGCCAGGAAGCAGTGACGTGCGTGGAAGGGACAGGGACCTGAAATGGAATCTTGCTTCTTCATGGAAGGAAGTGAGCCGCTTTGAGGGGGGCTCTAGCCTGGCAGAAGCCACCATGGATTGATGGATCTACCCCTGTGTCTGACACCTTTAGCTTTGTGACAGGTTTATCAGGCCAGCCAGAGGTGCAACACAGAAGAGGAGAGGACTCTTGCCTAGAGTGAAAAGAAACTAGCACAAAACTTCACAAAGGAAGGGAAGGAGATGCTGTTCAATGTTTTATTAACAGTTGGAAACCCACCGAACTATAGGTGATGACATCCCAGGAGCCCAAGAGGTGAGGGAAGTAGGTTTGAATTTTGTCCCCCAACCCCATTTTTTTTTAAATTAAATGCATCTTAGCAAAAGTACATTAAAAAAGAAAGGGTCAAAGCCCTAGATGTCAGCGAGCAAGAGGAAGGAGGTGACCCGAGAGAGCAATGGAGCTCCTGCACCAGTCTTCCTGGGAATAGTGCAGAGGAGCTGCCTTTGCCCCTTCAGACACAAGTTCTAGCGACTGGAACCTTCCTTCCTGGTCACAAGGCCCCCTTGTTCTAACAAGTGTACCTCTGGGCCAGTCCTCAACAATGCCATTCTCTCCTTAGCTGGAGGGGAAGCTCAAAGGGACATAGGAGGGTAAAGGTGTCACCCTAGGTCGGGAATCTGAGCTTCCTGAGGTTGGGGCCACCAAACAGTTCAGCCTGCCCACTATTCAGAACGAAGTGGGTATGGAGTATAGAGCACCTCTGGGCACTTCTCCGGATATCCAGGTTAGCATCTGCACATTTGGCTAGGTAATTTATTAAATTTATAAAACTTGTGCCTCAGAGCTCCTGCTACTCTTAGTCTTGGTCCAGCCCAACCAGAAGAGATTCCTCCTGCCCAGAACTGATGCTGGGGGAGGATTTGTCTTAGCCTCCGAGTTTGGAGGGTCTGACTATTGAGGCCAAGATCCAAGGACATGCTCAGCACTGAGGCCTATGAAGAGAATCCCAGGAGCTCTGAATCTAGTATCAAAGCCTCTTTGATTATGCACGGGGAAGGGGAAAGGAAGTTATTTTTCTTTTAAAAAAATTTTTTGTACAAAAATAGATCCATTTGCAAAACAATTTCTCAGCCAGGAGGCTCCACCTCCCATTTCCTTGGAGACAGAGGGTGAGGTGTAGCATGGTCGCACTACAGCCCATACTTCAAATGAGATGCACCAAAGCTCTGGGGAAGGCATGAGGAGGGACCCTGGCTCAGGAGCCTGGGGGTGCTGGTACTGAGGGTTCAGGGGGGCAAGGGCACAAAGCACGGCAGCACGTTGGAAAGGTGGCCCATGCTGTTGCTTGCCCATGGGCTCAAGCCTCAGCAACCAGGGCACAAATAGAGAGGTCCAGGTCCTTTTTGTTTTGGAGCACCTCCCCAGGAAGGTGGGGTAAGGTGGGATTTGCTCCCTGCTTCCTCAGAAGCAGCTCCCAATGCCACAGCATTAGTAATAAATACCAACAGCCAATAGGGGAAAAGCAGAGGTGACATCAACAAAAAAGGGCTCTAGCCCAAAGGTTCATAAGCCCCATGCTGTTCTTAGGGCCAGAGAAACCACAGAAGAAAAGCACAAAGCCAGCAAGATTGACCTAGGGAAGGCCCACTAGAAAGTCAGGCTGAAAGCAGGACAGGCCTTGTCTGAGAAAAGGCCCTCTGAGTAACAGAGGAGACAGGGTTAAGGCAGCAAACACAGACCCTGCTTTGGTAACACAATGACCAGGGCTGCCTGGGTTGGGCTCAGGCCTCTCCCACACTGCCCTTTTGGTCTCCAGGCAGCTGAAGATGTACGTGATGGTCTGAGAGCAGCAGGCCAGACAGAAAGAAAGGGTCAGGGTGACAGGAGTGGCCACTCTAGAAGAATACCCCCCAACCCATTAGGCACATGCTGCAGGGCAGGACAGTCTGGGCTCCATTTAGGAGCTGCCTTGGCCATGGGACCCAGGTTAACTTGCACGGCCAACCAACTCCTTGGCTTCCTCAAGGATTGTGGGGACTCCTTCACTGTTCTTGGATATCTTGGCAGGAGCAGCAGTTATGACATCATCCTTGATCAGGTCCGGAGGTAGCATAGATGCAAGACACCCGACCTTCCTGTTGCCTGCAAGAGAAGACATGAGATCCCATCCATGGAAGATTTAATTTCTAATCTCTTTCAAATTCTGCAACAGACATTCGGCCACAAGCCATGCAAGTATGGCTGTCTTTTCAGCTTCACAAAGGCCCTTATTTTGAAGGAAAAGGGCAGAGGTCCAATATGCAGGATATACTTTTGGATGGTGAAGAATATAAGAGCATAGTATAAGAGGAGAGCAAGCCTTACCCTTGCTCCTTGGGACAACAAGGTTTAAATATGGTTAGATAGAACTGGGTTTACGTGTTGGCTGTGTCACACTTAATCCCTTTTCCCATTGTAGGGTTGATGGAATTAAAAAGGTAAAAGCCTAGTATACAGTATAATTTTTCTTTTCTTGGTAGTCCTCAGAAAGCTCCTAGGCCAGCGGTGGTGACCTATGGCAGGTCTGCTACAGCGGGCTGTCTATCACTGAAAGCAAGGTTCACCATCACTGTTCTAGGCCAAAAGCACATTTTATTCTGCCCCAAGAGGGCTATTTCTAGCAGAAGGGGGCCTTTGGCAGGTTGCTCAGGGGTACTGCAAAGAGAAGCAGCAGCCACTAACCGGCATCATGCACAAAGACTCTTATGTGATCCTCCAACAACCAATACCACATGCCTGGCTCTTTCCCACCTCTACCGCGGTCCTAAAAGATGTGTTTAAGTTTATATGTGTGGGTCCGAGAAGGCAGAGCTGGTGGGAACCCTATAAAAACCCCTGGCTAATGGCGTGTGCAATTCTAGTTGTCATCCCACCGAAAGAACCATCAATTGATCCATGTGTTTCTGTTCAACTGACAGGATGTCTCCCAACACTTTCACATTCATTTATGGAATCCACACTTATGACCCGTTTCACACACCGTGCCTCTCTTAGGATGTCTGCTCTGCTCATGCCTTTCTAGAAGCAGCACAGACTCTGCATGTACACAAGAGCTGTCTGGGGGGAAAAGGCCAGATACAAAAGGAAATATATGTTACAACTCCCTTTCTGTAAAATGTCCAGCAGACAGTGGATTAGTGGTTTGCCAGGAGCTGAAGGGGAGAATCAGAAGTGACTGCAACCTTGAAGGGATGATAAACATTTGAGTGACTATGTTTACCCTGATTTGAACATTATACCAATATGGGTTCATGTATCAGGACATCAAAGTACCTCATAAATAATTTTTATATATGAGTTTTAAAAAAGGACTGCTAATGGGGATAGTTTCTTTTAGAGATGATGAAAGTGTTCTAGAAGTAGAAAGTAGTGACAGCTGTACAATCTTGTAAGTATACTAAAATCAATGAATTGTATACTGTACTTTAAAATAAAACTTCCTGGGGACCCAGAAAAGCTTTGGTGGAAAAAGCAGTGCCTACGCCTTAAAGCAGCAGGAGCAGACAAAATGGTCTAATGCTCCTTAAAAGAGGACTACAGGACTGGGACAGCTGTAGACATGAGTCCAGAGAAGCCAATGAACAAAGCACGCCCGCCCCCCACCAGCAAAAAGCTTTAGCTAGGAAGAAGCCAGCGGATTCCACAAGCCCAAGTCTTCACCAGGGCTTGTCAGTCTCACTGCAGTCATGGCCCAGAGCCACCGTTTTCACGTCCAGTGGCTACCCATAGGTCAAACGGAGAGCACGCAGCATGCCCACAGGTTACCAACTTATGGGTCTCCTCCTCCTCCTCGTCCTCTGCCCACAGGCACAAAGTATTGTCTACCAAGATGAGAAAGAATAGTAAAGACGCTGACGGACACCCACAGGGCTTACTGGGATCAGAGGTGTGTGACCTAGACTTTGGGGACCTCACCAAGCCACTCACTGGATTAAGAACACAGACTACTGCCTCAGAAGCTGACAGGTGAGGAAAAGGAGTGCAGCTGAGTGTGACTCATGTTCTACAGGTGTATGCTTCTACCTTCCTTCTTAAGTCTCTTCCTACCAGCAAACCCTTCCTTGAACCTGCTTAGTTTTCAGTTTTCCGAAGTACTGGCTTCTCCAAGACCACAACTGTCAAGTCCAGAAAGGCAGAGAGGTCTGCTTTTTGTTTTTTTTGATGGTGTTGGGAACTGAACCCAGGGCCCTACATATGTGAAGCAAGTGCTATACTGCTGAGCTACATTCATGGCCATCAATGCCATTTTGTTGCTTCTTCTAAATTATCAAGCAGTTGGAAAAATACTGCAATCATCTTTGTGTCTGACTCCAATGTACGTCTAGTATATGTGTTGAAATACGTGACTTCTGGCTCCAGACCTCGGGAAAAGAACATGGGCCTTTGGGGACACCTCTCCTGGCCACACAGAAGTCATGAGTTCTACTGTGGCAAGTCTTAAGATGCTTCTTTCCTTGGATTCTTTTTCTAAGCCAAGAAGATATCTGTCATATCTAATTCAGCAGGGTTTTAGGATTTTTCTAGACTCAAGAAGCTTCTGATGTATTACAGATTTCATAAGAACCAGAAGCAGAAGGCAGGTAAGCAGAAATTTCCTCTTCTAGTTTAGAAAGGTGAGGGATGGGAAAGCTCATCTGAAGTGGCAATATGACCCATAATACTCAGGCAGCTCAGCTCCCATTGTGTGTACTGCCATTGTTATGGTGAAGTGGCTTTAACAGTCAAGAAAAACTGACCTCCCCCCTTCCCTGAACTTGAGCACTTGCTAAGACTAGTAGAAAGTAATCACAGAAACAGTGTTCTGACTGGATGGAGACTATGGGCTTATCTCATAAGAGGATGGTCCCACACTGTGGAGGAAAGGAACCATCTGAGATATTGTTCAAAGCTCTCTGAGGCCAGGTTCCCAGAAATAGTGAGTAGGCTAGGACAAAAAGATCAGCAAAATCAACCACACAGCCATTGAAGTATATAGTTAAATTACATAGAAAAAGGTTAATGATTTGGGGGGTTTCACAAAAGACAGGCCAGGAATTACTACTAAAGAGGAAATGCTCTTGTTAATAAGCTTCCTTAGGGAAGAGGAAACTAGGACAGATGGGGCAATCATTACCATCCTAAATAACTCATTATTATCTAAAGCTCTCCTAATTATACCTTCTGTCCTATTTTTACGAGAGAGGACAAATAGTGGTACAGGAATACATTTATCAACCCTTGTAAGACAGGTGATCATTGGAAAATGTTCCTGAAGAAACTTCATCATGTCCAAGGCTGTCCTTGCTAGACCATATGAAAGAACATTTCTGGGCCCTTCAGAGGGACCACTCATCTTGTGTTTAATTATGCAGGATCAGTGGAAACAGCCCTGCCCTTGGGTTCACAAAAGTGGGCTATAATTTTGAATCTATTATTAGTCAGTTATGTAGACCCATCAAGACTGTACCTGGGTCTTAATTCCTTTCATCTTTTAGCAGGCTAGAAACTATTCATGAGGAGTTGTTAGAGTCTTCCCAACACTACTTTATTAGTATACCCAGAGCTTACAGAAAAGTTCGAAGTAATAAAGAAAGGGAAACTGGGATTAGTAGCACACCTATAATTCCAGCACTTGGGAGGCTGAGGCAGGAGGATTACTGTGAGTTCAAGGCCAGCCTGGGCTACATAGTGAGTTTAAGGCAAAGCTAAACTACATAGTGAGACCATATTAAAAAAAAAAA